CACAAAAAATGTCTGGAACTCCCGCTTTAAAAATGAAGTATTCTCTGATTGTATGAAGTGGAGAGGCAGGGCAGTGACGTCACACTTTTACCTCAGCCATGAAGAGAACGCTTGGTATTCATTTAGCCAAGCATTCTCTGAATGGTGCCCATGCTCAGTGGTGACCTTCTGTATTCAGAATGCAACAGGCCATCCACTAAGTATGGGACCAAGCAAGAAGTGGTGTGTACTTCTGTGATTTCCAGCTTCCAAGTGCATCAGCCAGTTATGGTGCATACATAGTTACGAACATTGGTCCAAGATGGATTAATGTAACCATATAAAAATATAACATGCCTGGAATTCTTCTTTAAAACATCAAGGGTATATTTACTGCATAAAGCATTAAATGTGACATTTACTGAATATTAACCACAGGCCTATTTTTCTGACACATTTTAAATGATAAGTTCATCTTTTGGAACATGTTACATGCTCCACCCGTTCTTTGGGTGTAACATGTTCCCACTGCCAAAGCCGATACCCACTCCACTGCAAAGTGACAGCTAGCGGGGGATCTTCTCTCCCCTCTTGCTGTCACTATTTGGAAAAAACAAAGCAGGCGTGTGGCACTCCGCCTGCCCAGCCTTGTCATTCATTCACAGAATTCTGTGAATGTAAAACTGCAAGTCTGCAAGTAAAACGGCTTGTAGTTCTCAATTAACTACCACGGCGCTGTTGAGTGCTATGGAAGTTTGCTGATTCCTCTTTTTAAAGTGTATCTGCTTGCCCATACGAGGTACGAGCAAACAAATACACTGACAGGTCTGCAGGAGTCCTGCATGGCACCCGCCATCAGCTTTCTAGGCTTCTAGTAAAAAACAAATAGTAAAGCACATTTTTTTACCAGCAAAAAGATGTGCATTTATTTTTATTTATCCTTTAATAACCACTTGCCGACCAACCACTGTATTAAAACGGCAGCAGGGCGGCACAGCTGCGCAAAATTACGTTTTAAAATGTGATTTTGCAAAACAGGTAGGGGGCGCGCGCGAGGCACGCTCCCACCCTACCCGCGCTGCCTATCGCGGCTGCAGGTGTCAATCACCAGCCAGGTCCCGCCGATTACCGGCAATCACTGACAGGGATCACGGCTGCAGTGTTTACAGTGTTTAGTGTGCTCTGCTCCCTGTCAGTTCCTAACACACTGATCCTGAGAGCGGAGGTTTCGCAGGATATAAACAGCACCATTTGTAAATTGGGAAAGCATCTGATCACATCGATCTTGGTTTGATTAGATAATGTAAGGGCAGAGGAGATATCTAGAGTCTGATAGACCCCATATTTCTCAAAAAAAAAAATATGACAATGCCCATTGAAGTTATAGGGGATATTTGCATTCCCTGTGATAGCATTAAAAGTGATTACAAAAAATGAAAGGTACAGTGTAAAAATAATTAAAAACATCAAAATAACTTTAAAAAAAAAAACTCGCCCCTCCCATGCACACCTGTGTGCACAAGCCTTGACCCTGTACCGGTATGTAAACAGCGGTTGCACTATACATATGAGGTATCACCGTGAACATCAGATCAAGGGCAGTAATTCCAACACTAGATATCCTCTGTAAATCTAAAATGGTAGCTTTTAAAGACTTTTAAAACGTTGCCTATGGATATTCAAAATGTATGCAGTTTGTCGCCATTGCACGGGGCATGCACAGTTTTAAAGCATGTCTTTTTTGGTATCTATTTACTCTGCATACCATCATCTTTTTATATCTTACCAAATAATTGGCCAATATATTGTGTTTTTGTGCATTAAAAGTAAAAAAAGTGAATTTTTTTTTTAAAAAATTGCTTTTGAAAAATTGCTGCGCGAGTACTTTGTGCCATAAAAAATTGTAGTACCCACCATTTTATTCACTAGGGTGTCTGCTTTAAAAAAATATATAATGTTTGGGGATTAAATTAATTAATTAGCAAAAAATACAGAAAAAGTGTCAGAAAAGGCTTGATCTTCCGGTGATTAGAAGAGTGAGTGATGTGTGGCATAAACTTCTAATGCTGGGCATAAAATGCCCCCACCCCCCAAAACGACCCTTTTTTGTAAAGTAGACACCCCAAATTATTTGCTGAGAGGCATGTTGAATCAATAGAAGAATTTATTTTTTTTACCACAAGTTTTTGGAAAATGACAAAAATGTATTTTTTTTTTTTTTTTTTACACAAAATTGTCACTTAAATGATTTACTGCTCACATATGCCATAGGTATATGTGGAATTACTTCCCAAAATACATTCTGCTATTTCTCCCGAGTATGGGGGTACCACATGTGAGAGACATTTTGGCAGTCTAGCCAAGTACAGGACCCCAAAATCCAATAAGCACCTTCAGGCTTTTAAAGGACTTTATTTCCTCATTACACTTCCAGACTACCTATCACAGTTTCGGAGGCCCTCAAAAGCCAGGATAGCACCTAACCCCCCCCCAAAATAATGCCTTTTTGTAAAGTAGACACCCCAAGGAATTTGATAAGAAGCATGGTCTCATTTGTTGCCACAAGTTTTTGGAAAATGAAGAAAAAAAAAAAAAAACATATTTTTTTTCAATTTTTTTTTATATTTCAAAACCTTGTGAGAAAAAATAAGCTCTGCAAAATACTCACCATTCCTCTTTTTAAATTCCTTGGAGTGTCTACATTCCAGAAAGGGGTCATTTGGGGGGGGGGGGGGGTTTGGTGCTATCCTGGCATGTCAGGTCCTTCGAAACTGTGATAGGTATTGAGGAAGTGAAATGAGGAAGTTACGCACCTTCAGGCTTTCAAAGTGGTCATTGGATTTCAGGCTCCTGTATGTGGCTAGGGTCTCAAAAAGTCTCACACATGTGGTATCCCCATACTCAGTAGAAGTAGCAGAATGTATTTTGGGGTGTAATTCCACATATACCCATGGCTTGTGCGAGAAATAAATCATTTAAATGACAACTTTGTGTAAAAAAAAAATGTTTTTGTCATTTTACAGAAAAGTGTGGAAAATAAATAAATCTTATATGGACTCAATATGCCTGTCAGCAGATAGTTTAGGGTGTCTACTTTCCAAAAAGGGGTTATTTGAGGGTGTTTGTATTATCCTGGTATTTTAGCACCTCAAGAAATGTGATGAGAAGTCAGAAAATAAAAGCTGTGTAAATTCCATTATCTATACCATAGTTTGTAGATGCTATAACTTTCACACAAAGCAATAAATATACACTTACTGGGATTTTTTAACCAAAAACATGTAGCAGAATACATTTTGGCTTAAATTTATGATGAAATTTTAGTTTTTTTGGATATTTTTTATGACCGAAATGAGAAAGTATTGTTTTTTTTTAAAAAAAATGTTTTCTTCAAAAAAATTTTTGTTTATAATGCCAAAAATAAAAAGTGCACAGGTGATCAAATACCACCAAAACAAAGCTCTATTTGTGTGAAAAAAAGGACATAAATTTCATTTATGTACCGTATTGCATGACCACACAATTGTCCGTTAAACTAGCGTAGCGCTATATAGCAAAAAAATGGCGTAAATTGCAGTATCTATACCATAGTTTGTAGACGCTATAACTTTCACACAAAGCAATCAATATACACTTATTGGGATTTTTTTTTACCAAAAACATGTAGCAGAATACATTTTGGTCTAAATTTATAATTAACTTTGAGTTTACTATATATTTTTTATAGCTGAAAGTAAAAAATATTGTTTTTCTTCAAAATATTTGGTATTTTTTGTTTGTAGCGTGAAAAATAAAAAGCGCACAGATTATCAAATACCGCCGAAAGAAAGCTCTTTTTGTGTGAAAAAAAGGACTTAAATTTCGTTTGGGTGCAGCATTACATGACCGCGCAATTATCAGTTGAATTAGTGCAGCGCTGAGTAGCAAAAAGAGGCCTGGTCATTAAGGGGGGTAAATCCTCAGGAGGGCAAGTGGTTAAATTAGAGTGAATCATTTACCTACACTGAATGTCCAATGAATGTTACCTGCACTGTTTAATAATTATGTAACCAAGTGTAGACTGTATTATTCCAGTAGGAGAGGGTCTCAGGCATATGGCCCCTGCTCTAAGGCTCCATGTACACTGCAGATGATAAACTCACGTTTAGGAGCTTTTCTGCGTTTTTTTCAGCAGCCCCTGAACTCTCCCTAATGTTTTCCTATGTGTCCATGTACACTATGTCGTTTACAGGCAGTTCAGTTTACAGTTGTTTTTTTGAACGCACCAAACTTGCATTCAGGAGTAGATTTTATCAGCGTTACAAACGCCAAACGCTTGTAAACACTTGTAAACGTGGCTAAACATGGCTAACCGCATTTATAAGCGTTTTCGTTTGGAAACTTTTTTTAAACTCTTCCACTTCCAGATGCTGTCCAGAGCCTTTTTTCATCATGAAAAATGCATGCAAAGCGTTTTCCCAGTACTCAAATGGACCTGGTACACCATATTTTGAGGTTTTGCATGAAAGAAAATACGTTAGACACTGCTGTATTAATTTCTGCACAGAAATGAGCTGAACACATATGAACACCACAAAAAAAAAAAGAAAGCTAATAACAAATACTGTTCTCTTTGCTTCTGCTCTCTCTCTTTCTCTCAAAATGTCTGAAATAGATCATTTTTTACCGTTTTTCAGTGCATTCTGGGCATTTTGGAAGCTCTCCTAAGGTTATCTTTTAAAAAACGCTTCTAAACGCAAATGCTCATAAATGCACATAAACGCAGTATGCAAACACTGCTAAACAGACGATTTTTAACCTACGTTTTCCAGCACTCATCGTTTCCATCATTCAGAAGTGTCCGTGTACATAAAGCCTTAGGGCTCATGTACACCGCAACTGATAAACTCACTTTTAGGAGCTGTTCAGCGTTTTTTTCAGCAGCCCCTGAACTCACCCTAATGTTTTCCTATGTGTCCATGTACACATCGTCATTTACAGTCATTTACAGGCATTTGAGTTTACAGTTGTTTTTTTGAACACAGAAAACTTGCGTTCAGCAGTCGATTTTATCAGCATTTCAAATGAAAAAATGGTTGTAAATGCGGCTAAGCACAGCAAATCGAGTTTATAAGCATGTGCGTTTCTACATTTTTTTTAACTCTTCCAGTTCCCGATGCAGTCCAGAGCCTTTTTTCATCATGAAAAATGCATGCAACGCATTTTCAAGGTAGTCAAATGGACAAAATACTGAATACAAGATGTTCCTAAGGAGCTTGTCACACATTGTAATGACCAATTCACAGCTTAAATTCGTCATGAAGACCCCCTGCCAGGTGACCTTAATGACTCACTCCACCAGACACCTTTCCCACCCTTGGAAACAAACTCTTACCTAATTATCTATTAGGCAACTCTTACCTAATTATCTCAACACATACTGCTGTCTCTGCTTCTACTCTCTGTATTTCTCTGAAGCAGTCTGAAATAGTTAATAATTTACCACTTTTTAGTGCATTCTGGGCATTTGGGAGGTTCTCCTGTGCTTATCTTTAAAAAACACTTCTAAAAGCAAATGCGCATAAATGCGTTATGCAAACGTGGCTAAACAGACATTTTTTAACCTACGTTTTCCAGCACTCAGTTTCTATCGTTCAGAAGTATCCCATGTATATGAAGCCTTAGAATGTGGCTCTACCAGATAAGGAAAAAGAAGAAAAATAAAAATGAATATCAGATCATATGCAATTTTAGTAACTTTAGCAACCTTTGTGATGCTCAGTACTGAACTTAGAGTGACTTTTCTTTACACATTGATGTGACATCATTGACTTACTATTTATAAAGCAGATTGTTGAGGCGTGTTGACCTTAGCAGCTGACATTTAGAGGCCCCACCATCACCCTAGTAACTATTAGTGACACAGAACTGTATAGACACTCCAGACACATATCAGAAACACATAGTAAATGTTTATCATAAGTAGAGGAATACAGAGGCCAAAAGAGAAGGTCGAGCCATGTTTAACTGTCTGTAATGTGCAAAGTCTTTGCACAAAATACTGAGTGTGATTCATAAAAATTAGAGCACAGGAAAAAATAGCACATTGCCTAAAGCAGTATGTAAGCTGTTAAACATGAAAGCTTACTGGTTGCATAAAGCAATAAGTCCTCACTTCATTGCTGATCTTCATAAATCAGCTCTTATAAGTGCACAGCTCAAGTCCATATAGAACATGGGCAGTAGAATGACCAGCCAAAAACAGCAAAGACGTCATCCACAGATGCGATCCAGACTCTTCAGTCACTAATTCAATACAGAGAATGTCACAGTTTTCACCATAACAGTGCATACTCTCTAGCATTTGAAAGAGAAAAACTGATTCATATGAAACCTATGGAGACAATTATATCAAAAGCACCTTCATATAAAAATCATATAAAATCAACTTAACAACTAGTTTGTAAGTCATGGCATATATACTTACCAGTTGTGGCATATTTTACTTAGCATTAAAATACATGATTAATGGTTTATAAAAAAGATGTGTTTCAGTGACCTGCACTGGAGTTTCCTTTTGGCCGGCTTGGATAGCTGCAACCGAATTACAGATCTGGTTAAGCAGAACCTGCATATTGTAAATAGAATTCACTCCAGCATATGATACACATTACAGGAGACGTGTTTTGCTATCACACCCTTTGATCATGTTTAGCTCTTTAAAGTTCCCTTCATTCATGGAAAACATTTTTGTCCAGCTACAATTTGCCTTAGGCAGTTGCTATGCAACAGTGCATCACCCCATAATTCAAACGAGTGAGACAGTGTTTTAAACTTCAATCTGTGCTCTCTATAAACTATAAAGTATCGTATCTGCTAAGTTCTGAAACCCTGGGAAATGGTTAAAAGTCATTTTTTAATGAGGTTACATGGTAAGGAGGCTAATGGAGAGAAGTTTGAAAAAAATATTGTTGTCTGGTAGGCATTACATGCACCATTCTCTTTACCCCTTGTCAATTTTTATGTCAATGGCCACCTGGGAACTCATGTGTTCAAAGCATTTGTTCCTTAAAATTTATTTAATAAGTGTTACATCATGCGCACAAAGTAATCCATATCAGTTTTGAAATTATATTTCATTAATATGACAATCCTTTTCTGTTGAAAACATCTCATATTTATTATTTTAGTTTTTTTGTATTGCAAATTAATATCCCATGTCACTACTGGCCTGCATATTGTATCATGATTCAGACACACTGATAGCTAGCCTTGGGCTGCCTACTGATCCTTATTTTCTTTGTCAGGTCTTGTCCTGTGCCAGGATTCAGTAAAGATTTTTGAACAGCTGTTGGTCTTTTGCATCTATTCTGAAGCTTGATAGCTCTTATTTTTTTTATATATATATATATATTATATATATATACTTTCTGCGACTTCCTTCTCCTCCTTTCTTTCCTCCTACCTTTCTTTTCCCTACCTTTTAAGATATTCTTTCTTCTTTTCATTCCCTACTCCTACCAGTTCTACATATCATTTTGAGCTTTTAAACTTATTTCATCTTTCCCATGTTGTTTTAAATTTCTCCATTTTATCTTCTACAATATGGCAAAGTTCCTCCATCCTGTATGTGTAATCCACCCTATTTATCCAGTCTTTTATTTTTTGTACCTGCCAAAAATTTGGTATCAATCCCTTTCCTGCATTTATTAAATATAATTTCATCATATTCCTATATTTTTCCACTGAAAACTCAGTATTATGGAATAAGCATACACATGGATCCTTCGCAATATTAGTCCCCATAATCTGCTGTATTTGGTGAATTATTTCCTCCCAGCACTCCCTTATGTTGGGGAAATCCAACCATATATGTGCCCTTGATCCCACACCCCCTCCAACACATAGGTGATTTCTCTAGCTTGTTGCTTATGTGCTACATTAGGTGTAATATACCATCTTGCTAAACATTTATAATTCACTTCCACTACCTTCATGTCTACAACCTTGTGTGTTAATCTAAATATTTTCTTTTTTTGCTGCTCTTTCAATGATATTCCAAGCTCCATTTCCCACTTCTCCGTTTATGGTAGAGGAGTGGGTCCTACTATTGCAATGAGGGTCTTATAAATACGGGAAATACTATGTTTCTGTATCTAATTTACTTACAATGAAGTATTCAATCCTCCACTGTCCTTAGTGGCTGTGGGAGCGTTGCAGCAAAGTGCCTTAGTGGAAAATATTGCCATTCATCTAACATAAAAAACAACTTTTAACTTTTTTATCCCTTTACCAAAAATATTCTTTCCCTGAGAATACCAGCGGTATTAACAGTGAATTATGCTCCCATCTCATTTGTTTCTAAATTACATCCCATACTCTAATTACATTCCATGTATAAGTGCTTGTGTTTTCAGCCAACATACAGTGCTGTTGTGGAAGCCAAATAATCCTAATAATCTAATAATCTAATTGTGTCTCGCTTAATGTGTTTTCTATTTTAACCCAATTTTTCCCTGGTGCATTATACAGTATATCCAATCAAATATTCATGACAATAATATGGAGTAATAATATCTCTTAAAATAATATTTCTTAAAATCCGGTACATTTAGACCCCCATTTGCTTTACCATTTTCTTTATCTCTACACAGCACTTTTTATTCATATTTTATTCTCAGTTTTTTATTTCCCCATATATATCTCAGTATAATTTTTTAAATTATTTTAAAATAAGTTCCTGGTAGATATATTGGTACCTTATGAAATTTATATAGGAATTTTTGGATCTATTAACATCTTTACCATATTTATTTGTCCTATCCAAGAAAGTGATCCTATAGAGATTCTCCTCAGTTCATCTTTTATCTCCATTATTAATAGGAATTCCCAGGCATTTTAGTTCTTTTTCCCTCCATGTGAAAGAGAATTCTCTCTCTGTAAGGCCTGTTTTTTCTATTATCAGGACATTAATATTTAAAATCTCTGATTTTGACAGGTTAATTTTTTAATTTGATAGATCTCCATAATATTTTAATATTCTCATTAAATTGGGTAGTGTCAGCCTAGGGTTTACAATCATAAAATAACATATCATCAGCATATGCTGCAACTTTGTGTTCTGTCTCTCCTATCTCTATCCCTTTTATATCAACACTGTTTCGTACTCATGCAAGAAGGGGCTCTAAGGAGAAAACAAACAGGAGTGAAAGCGGACACCCCTGTCTTGTGCCATTATACATTTTAAAGAACTTTGATAATGAGCCATTAAGCTTTACCACTGCTGAAGCCTGACTATAAAGCTGTCCTACCCACTTTCTTATTTTGTGTCCAATTCCCAGGGCCTCTAATGTATCCATCATGAATCCCCAGTCTACCCTGTCAAAAGCTTTCTCAGCATTGGTAGAACCAGTATGGGGAATTTCTCTCTCTTACTTTATTGTAGAATAAGTAATGATCTTAACCCGTTATATCTTTATTTTCTTCCAGCGATGAACCCCACTTGATCTAAGTGAATCCATTCTGGCATTAAGTCTTTCATCCTAGTTGCCAAGACCTTCGCATACAGTTTCGTATTGATATTTAGCAGCGATATAGGCCTATAACTAGCACATTGGGAACTATTTTTCCCATCTTTAAGTATGATTTTAATGTGCACTTGTAATGACTCCTCCCTCATTTCCATCTAATTTCTTAGTGCATTCATATATACACTCAGTTTTAGGGACTAATTGTTCTTTAAATTTCCTATAATATCTCATTGTACAGCAATCTGGTCCAGGGCTCCACCCTGCGACTGCACTCTCCAATGCAACTCAAATTTCTTCCTGCATTATTGGTTTTTCTAAAGTTGCCAGGCTTCTTCTCCCAATCTCAGTAATCCCGCTTCCTCAAAATACATATTTTTCTAGTTCTTTCTACATCCCCTTCATTTGGATTTTTTAATTTTATGTCGTATAACTTCCTGTAGTGTTTTTTTGAAATACATTAGCGATATCAGTGGTTGAATATACCAATTCTCTATTATCATCTTTAATTTTCTCTATAAAGTTCCTCAATTTCTTATTCCTCAGCGTTCTCATTAAATATTTTTACCAGGTCTATTCCCCCACTGGTATCTTTGTCTTGCCATCATGTTAAATATTCTCCTCATTTCTTGTTCCATTAAGTTGTTTAATTCCTCTCTTTTTTGGATTATTTTCTGTTGAGTATCTTTTACTGTTCTCTTTATGTGATTGTTCTAGTTCGTATAATTCCCCTATTAACATATTTATTTTCTTCTGCCATTCTTTCTTTTTTTCCACTCCTATAGCAGTCAGAATTCCCCTGATATATGCCTTATGTGTTTTCCAAACCGTAGCAGTCGAGACTCCTTCAGTCTCATTTGTTCTAAAATATTGTTCTATTTCTTTTTTTTATTTTTACTTC